GAATTGAATTAAAATGATTAAACTTTGATATTTTCAATTTCATATAATGTTGTTACTAAAGTAGCTAGCTACTCTTCCTTTTTTTTTTAATTTTTCATAAATAAAGAAAATTTTTAAAATTTCATAGCATTTAATGAAAAAATTTTATTTTCCTTATGTATAGGAAGGAAAAATTAACTTAAATATTTATATGGCAGTAACATAACTTTTAACATTTTAAAGAAAGAAAAAATAAAAAAATATGAGTAGGTTGAAATTCCTAAACACATTTTCTTCCTATACAATTTTTAAGGGCATAATATAAAAGCGCAATTATATATAGTTCACCTGCAATATATACGAGTAGTTTATACTAGTAATTCAAAATATTTTGAATTAAAATTATTTTTTATTTAAAAAAATATTAATTTAGAATTTAAAGTTACTATGGGAAAACCTGAGTTTATTGATTTGGAACTTTTTATAAACTATATGAAATTTCCAATTCTTTACAGAGTGCTTAATGAAAATATCATTAGAGAGAAGAGTTTTATCAACTTTGTACTTTAAAAGAGAAAAACTGAAAATTAACATTTTCTATTTATAATAATTAAAATTAAAATATTTTTACAAGTACTGAATTGTCTTATCAAAAGTGTTCTTAATGCGATCCATAAATGTGCAAAGTTAATTTCATGAGTATTATGAGAAACTTAAAATATAAAATGTTTCAATATTTCACGATTTCTTAGCTGAACAATTTAAAACATCATCTAAATTATATATGAAATTAAGATTCTTGATTCCAATTCTGCTACATAACAGCTAATTTTTTTGATATGAGAACTAAAGTTATTGAAAAATTATGATTGTATATAACTATACGCGTATGCAGATAATATTTTGTTGTAATCACACAATACACTCTTTCCTTTAAATATAATTACAAAATCAATTTATAAACTTTATTCCCACAGTATTTAAAAAATTGTCATCATTTCAAAAAAATTGTGTTTAAAATTCCAATTGCATTTCAATTTCATAGATAAGCGAAATGCAAAATGAGCACTATTACTCATATAATGAAGGACACTGTCAAAGAATGTGAGATTACTATATTATGAGTAAAATATATAAAACTTATATTATTTAAAACTTTCATGAAAATCAACAATTAAGATAAATATATATAAATAATTATGATCAACAATTAAGATTTCTTTCAATATAGTATAGAAAATTGAAATTCTTTTTACACACGATACATTTTTTATCTTAATATAAAATCACAAATAACTTAAAAATAAGGTGACTTTATAATCGCATTACTGATTAACACAAATGTGTATGTGTAATTATAGCTATAGAAATTTAATGAAATGAATATAACAAATATAAACAAAATTAGTAAAATAATGCGTTATATGTATATTGGATATGAAAAATATAAGGTTTCATAGTAACATTTATAGTAAGACTTATAATGCCTAAACGCCTAATATGCGCTTAATAAACGCCTAATGATTTATTGCAAATCTTAAAGAATGCCTTAAAAAAATTATGGCTAAATTCAAAATATCTAATATCATATCGAATCTCTTAAAATCGAATAATTTGGCATATTATTCATAGAAAATTCATAGAAAGCCTAAGAAAGAGCTCAGTCGTTCATCATAAGCATCTAATGAGCAAAATTAACCAAAACTGCAAATTATAACAAAGTAATTATTGATTAATAATAAGTTAATTATGATGAAGAATAGATAATTTTAATAATATTATTTTATACAAAATTATTTAGAATATAATTTATACCTAAATTAATTATACAACACGAAGACTAACTTTGATTATATCCGAAAATATAATGTCAAAATCATAATGATCATCCGAAGTGATTAATTAAATAAATATTTATATAAACAATATTAAATCGAAAAAATAAGAATACCAAAATTCCTTTTATAATTACGACATTATTGGAAAAACAGAAATTTTCTATTAATATGTTCAAGAACAATTTTCAAAAAATATTTTAAATTCTTAGAGAACGTGGATGGCACGTACATGTTTACCTACTTAATAAACTTCAAAATTTATTTTCTGTCTATAAGGTGGGGAAAAATTTTATGTTAAAATTCAAAAGTATAACAAAACTCAAATATCGTCCTTAAATTTTATGCAAGTATAATTTTACCTTTCACATATTATTAAGGAAGAACATGAATAATTATTAAGGATATTCAGTATAAAAAATTAAAAGGAGAAGACCAAAACACCTTTACCTCTTATTTTTTTTTTTCTGTTTTTTTATAAATATGCGATCCGCTCATTTGTAATTCTCTTTTATTTTTTTGTTGTGTGTTAATTTAATAAGTATGTACAAGTCAGTTTGCCATATATCTCATCAAATATTGAAAAATCGTTGAGACGATCCCTTGCATGATATTCCCTTCAAATTTTATAGCCTATATATAGTTATATGATGTATATATAGGTTAAAATATCATTGCAATACGAAATATGCATTTATGGTGAATATTTTTTTTTGTCGGTTTTATTGTAGTTTTCTTTCTGTTTTATTGTTAAGTTAGAGGGACTTTTGATATAAAATTAATTTGAAATTATTACAATATTTTTCCTTGTTTTTTTTTTATTTCTGTTTTTAATTTTAAAATAAAAAATACCATAAGGTTTATTATTTCGCTTGGGTCAAGATTAAAATCCAGTTTTAATTGAACACCCGCAATAGAAACATTTAAAAAATATTTATTTCTTTTTTTTTCCATTTAATTTTTAAGATTAAAAAGAAAAATTAATGGATTTATATTAAAAATAATATTCAAATATTTAAATTTAATTAAATTATTAAAAATATGGAATTTAGTTATACAACAGATACAATTTTTAATGATTTTTCATCTTCAACAACGACCACTTCAACAATAATAACAACAACGGATGATGAATATTTATCACCAATACATTCTTATGATTTAAATTGGAATAGCGAAAATGTACAAAATTATCAAACAAATTTTCATCAATGTAATAATTATATTATTAATAATAATGAGAATAATAATAATAAAAATGATTTAAATAAAACAATATATTCATTTAATAATGAAGGAATTGATTTAAATAATGAAATTGTTTCAACAACTTTTGAAGAAAATAATTATAATAAGAATAGTAATAATATTAATAATAGCAATAATAATAATAATAATAATGATTATAATTTAAAAAATATTAAAAATAAATATAAAAAATCTAATAATAAATCTAAAAATGATGATACTATTAATAATAATAATATTAATTTAGTGACTTCATCATCAGACAAAATATTAAATGAAAAAATACGTAAACGAAAAATTAATAATGATAATGATAAAAATTGTATAAAAAAAGATTGGAAATTACCACCAAGTCCGACAGTTTTAAAAAAAAGACGTTTAGCTGCTAATGCTAGAGAACGTAGAAGAATGAATTCATTAAATGAAGCATATGAAAGATTAAGAGAAATTGTACCATCAACATCGGGTGCAGATGAACAAAAAATGTCAAAATTTGAAACATTACAAATCTCTCAAACATATATTTTAGCATTATGTGATTTATTAAAAACTGGTGATTTAGATGATGAAAGTATAACAACATTTACATTATTAAATAAAATTAATAATTAATTATAACAAACCAAATAAAAATTAAATGTATTAAAAGAAAATTACTGTAAACGGATAAAGTAAATTTTTCTACATTTATAAAATTTTCAAAATTATAAACCTAGTATAGCGTGTAACTATAGTTTTTAATAAAAATTTTTTTAAAATATTCAAAAAAAGTAATAATATATTTTTCTTATTACCCAATCCGTTTCCTAATCATGATTTACGAATATTCTTCCTTATTACCCAATTATTTTTAGTTAACTATTTTTTGTTATAAATTGACCTGAATGCGACATCTATATTTCAAAAGACGAACATTTGACAGCTTTTTTCGCAGCCTGATATTATATTGTTTTAGTTACCTCTAGCGAATGAAGTTGAAAAACTAAATAAGAAATTGTTTTAGAATATAATATAATTCGTAAAAAATACTGGATATACTAAAACAATCATATTGGTTTGTGTCTATGCTAATAAATTTTATACATACAATATATTTTTAACTTTACATGGGTCTGTTTACACGTGTATGCATTGAATAGTGTATAAACTACTCCTTTATGCTTTTTATACGGTCTCTCCTTTAAAATTTATTTGTTGGAGAGAAGGCGTGTGAAACACAAAATAAATGTTGTGTTCTATGCATATAGCTTAATATTTTCTGTGCTTATTTTTTTGAATGTTACAAAATTTTGATTGATCTTTATAAAATTTTTGTTTCTTTATTCCGATCTTGTTATCTTATTTGATTAAGCAGAAATTTTCAGGCAAGTTTTAAAATAACTCGATTAAAAGAAAAATGATTTATTTTTTAATAAATTTATTTGTTACAATTAATACGATTTGTCAAAAAAATTATATAATAAATTCAAAAAAAAAAAATCAGTTTTTCAGATACATAACTAATATTTATATTACAAATTTTGATTATCGAATGAATATTAGTATTTGTAGTGGAAAAACACTTTACTTTTACAGTTAATTCTTCTTTATGTTCCTCTATATTTTTAGGATAAAGATTATAAATAACTCTTGAGGATAACGTCACAAATTACATTTCACCTCCATAGTTGATATTGTTAATTATTAAATAAAAATAATTAGGCTAGTACAATCATATTTATTGTATCGAAGCCTAAAAATCATAGTTAAGAAAAATTAATTAGACGTTCATTGTAAATTAAATATTATTTTTCATGTTATCAACAACTTATTTATTTATATGTGTTGATGCTGTCAAAAAAATTTCTTTTCAAGCTAGATTTTGTACCATTGTTATTTTGAACGAATTTTAAATATCATCATTGCTCTGGCAATGCTAATCGTAATCTCGACAAAATTTTTTTACGTGAAAGAATTACTTTCTAAAAATAATTAGAAAATTAGAAAATAAATAAAATAATTTTAATTTAATATTAATTTTAATTTTGTTAAATTATTTGTAAGGGATTTGTGCTGAGTGAATCGTCATTGTGATCTTTTAAAGTATAAAAATTAAAATATGAAAAGAATCTGTGACAAAAACCAACATACTTATACGTCAATTTTCTCAATTTAATTAGTAAAAATAACAAAAACAGTCCAGAATCGAAATATTTTTTATATATTAATTATTGATATATTATTTAAAAACAAAAGTACTTATCAAGAATGAAAATTTTAATGTGTGTACTATTAAAACGCCAATGTAAAATTTATGTTGAAAAGTTAGAAATATAGGACATAACTGTGCTAAGATCTACTTTAGATGTAATTAATTGTAAAAAATTTTTTGCTCCAGTAATTTGTAAATGAATTGTTAGTGTTTTTTATTATTAGTATTTTAGATTTAATTGAAATATAAAAATGTATCTACCGGTTGGGTGGCCTCGATTAATAGATCTTTCAATACCAAGTAATGGGAAGATTCATAAAATTTGTTGCAATCGCGTAAAATCACATTTTGCTGCAATAACTGATAATGTTTTAGGAATTTGGTGTTCAAAACCTTTAACACCATTAACTTATCACTTACGTAGTGCAAATTCATTACAGGATTTGGGTAACAATAGAGGTTTTGTATGGGATATTGAATCTACAAGAATAGCAGTTTTTACGGATATAGGTAATTTACTAATTTATGCAGTGGAGATAAATTTGGATTCTGATGGTGTTTATAAAGAAATCGATCCACCAACACCAAATCTAAAACGTGATAGTGCTGAACTATTAATGCAAGAAAAAATACACAAAGTTACTTTAAAGCATATCAAAGTTGTTAATTTGGAAGCAGCAATTACATCTGTAGTTGTAATTAATTATACAGAGTTAATGGTGGCTACAGAGAACTCTAAGCTTATAAAAATTGATTGGTCTGGAGATTTTGATAAAGCAGGCTCACTATTGGAACTACAAAATATATGTTTTACTTTTAATCAACAAAAGAATTATAGTTCAAGCTCACCTAAAATTCGTACAAACGCTTTCGTAAAACGTATGGAATATTCATTGTTAATTGATGGTTTTGCAGTTTGTTTTGATGACGGTAGAGCAGGTGTTTTAACATTTCCAAATTTAAAGTTTGTTCCAAATCAAATCCAGGGATTGTGGGCTCCTAATGTTGAAGATGCAACGTGTTGTGGAATTAATCATAAATTTCGTTTGGTAGCATTTGGAAGAAAAAATTCTACGGTTGCAGTTTTTTGTATAGATGATAACACAGGCGGTTTAGAATTATGTCATAAATTACAATTAAGTCCAAAAGATTATTCTGGAAATCCAGGTCCAGTTAATGAATTGAAGTGGACACCAGATGGACGTGCAATTGTAATTTCATGGGAAAAAGGTGGATTTTCATTATGGAGTACATTTGGTAATAAAGTGTAGCGTAGTTTTAAATTAAAATTAATTAATCTTTATATTGTAGGAACTATGTTAATGTGCTCTCTTGTTTGGGATTATGGACTACATATCAATCTTGCAAAAGAAAATCCGTTTCTTATTTATAATATGGAGTGGTTTGCTGAAGGCTATCAGTTGATGATCTTGAAACACAAAATTTCCGCAGTCAATCAAACAAATCAAAATTTGGTGCCAAGTACTTCCACAGCTTCTATTAAATATTCAAAGAGAATGTCAAGTGTTCTGCTACTGGATTTCGTTAAAAGTACTTTGACTATAAATCCGGGTATGTCATCCAATTCGCATATTATTTTACAAGGTGAAGATAAGTTATATGTGAGTCAAGGAAAAAATTTAGATGAAATTTATTTTGGTACAACACAAAAGTTCCCAAACAATTCCGTTCACAAAAATCACAATCATACCGATGCATTCGATTTAAATGAACCAAATGAATCTTCAGAAATTCAAAAAAATTGTAATTCATCTAGTATTTTGTCGGAAAATAAACTTTGGGCTGTAGTTCAACTGCCACTGCAATATTCCTCATGCAATTGTCCGATTCGATTCACTGCAATTGACCAAGATGGTCATCATATAGCTATAGCGGGCAAATCGGGGTTCGCGCATTACTCTTTAATTACTAGGCGTTGGAAAGTTTTTGGAAACCAAACTCAAGAAAGAGACTTTTTTGTGACGGCAGGATTAATATGGTGGCAAAATTATGTTATAATGGGTTGTTATAATTTAATGGAGGAAACGTTTGAAATACGAATTTATCCAAAAGAACCAAAATTGGATAACCGATATGGTACTAGTGTGCAAGTGAAAGCTCATGTTCTTATACTGAGTCTTTTCAAAAATCAATTGGTTGTGTTTACTGCGGATGGATTTGTTAATACTTTTAAGTTATCGGTTCGCAATACAGAAAATTATGAAGTTGATATTGAAGCTTATTACGAAATTGACGTTAGAAGTGTATGTGTACATCCAGCTTGTGTTATTTCATTGACGATTTCAAATTTAAAAAATGATATGGCAATGAAATCTGCTTTTGAAGATTTACATGAAGACACTATTATCTTAAATATTTCTGGTAGATTATTTTTGATCCAAAGAAATTCAAGTTCTAATATGATAATACCACCAATGTCAACTTGCTTAGCTTCTTGCGTAGAATGTTTTTGGTTATCAAGCTCCGAAAAAAGTCATATGCGAGATTGTCTGTGGCTCTACAGTGGAACATATGGTACTATAAAAATTTTTTTATTGTTAACTTTAAATTATAAATTCTATATTTTCAGGTATGAGAGTATGGTTGCCAGTCTTGCCATCTGAAGATGAGTTGAGAAAACCAAATCGTCACACATTCATGTCGAAACGTATAATGTTAGCTTTTCCACTAAAGTTGTATCCTTTAGTTATTTTTTTCGACGATGCGATTGTACTCGGAGTAGAAAACGATACAATTCTTTACTCTTCAGATAATAACTCACATTTTTCTTTACCCTTTTCAATTTTAAATAAAAAAAGTCAAGTTTATTTACACAAAATATTACGACAATTGATTAAAAGAAATTTGGGTTACACAGCTTGGGAAATAGCAACAGCTTGCAGTAAGCTGCCGTATTTTCCTCATTGTCTGGAGCTTTTGTTGCATGATGTATTAGAGGAAGAAGCCACAAGTAAAGATCCTATACCAGATCCATTGTTGCCAAGCATTTTAGAGTTTATAAGAGAATTTCCAGTCTATTTACAAACAATTGTCCAATGCGCTCGTAAAACAGAAATTGCTTTATGGCCATATTTATTTGCAACAGCTGGAAAGCCTAAAGAACTGTTTTTACAAAGTTTGCAATTAAATCAGCTCGACATTGCTGCCAATTACTTGATAATATTGCAAAATTTAGAACCGTCAAGCATAAGTAGACAATACGCAACGCTTTTATTTGACACAGCTTTAGAAAATCGAAAATGGGAGTTGGCTAAAGATTTGTCCCGATTTTTGAAAGCTATTGATCCATGTGAAGTAGACTCGCCGCGAGCAACTTCGATGAACACCAAAATCAGTCCTCATATGTCTAGTCATCACAATCATCAACACACATCACAGCAAGCGAACTCAGACGAGCTAAATTTTATATTAGGTTAGTCTTCTACGTTGCAATTTTGTTTTAATTAAATCGATCCATACTGCTGCAACTTTTTCAAAACAATCATATTCCTTTTGCTTTTTTTACACTTAAACACAAAATGTAAATTTGTATTTTTAGGCTCTACAATGGCAAGAGGACGAAGTTTTTCTACAGCTACAATGATTGCAAAACCTAGGGAATTCTTATTTCGTAGTACATCACAATCAGAGGATAAACAACAGCAATCTCAAAATACACAACAAAATTATCAAAGTGAACCCCATCAAAATGAAGGGTCTACTAGGAAGAAAAGTACTCAAAGCAACAAAGACTCCATAGAAAAAAGTATTTTAAATGAAACGTTTTTCATTGAGGTAATAATTCAACGACATGCAAGAAAACTTCTTGAAACACGAAAAATATGTGACTTAGGATATATGAGTGCAATATTGGATTTTCCATTAGTTGGATGGTTAAGTCAGGAAAGTAATAGATCAGCGAAAGTAAATGATTTTGTTGCAGTTCTTAATCAACTGCATCACGATTTAAACTGGCCTAAACCAATTGGAAATGAAGTGGACATTAGTTTATTAGGAGTTACTGGCCCAAATATAAAGTCAGTACCATCAGATTCTGGTTATTTTAGCCTAACGACATCAAATGATAAAAATAATTTAGAAACAGTTGCTACAAATAGCTTGAATACAATACAGTCCTCAAATCTACCTGAAATTTGTGAGGAACCATTAAAAGATTCATTAGATTTCAGTGTACATAGTAATCAAAGTACTGGTTCAAATAATGAAACATATGCTATTGATAATGTAGTAGCAGGAGATTCAGCAATAACAACTTCTACCACATTATCTAAACGTAATTCTAATGCAACTGAAATTAATGAAAATCAGATAAAAAAGCGAAATCCACCTCAAAATACGAAACTAGAAGTTCAATTAAGATATTTATTACAATTGTTTACGGAAGCAAATTGTATTGATTTTTCATTAATTTTATCAATTTTATTATTAGATGGTGCATCAATTAGTCGTATAATTAATTTTGTAATTCGTTCAGAATCTTTATCATCGTGCCAACAAATACGTAATGGTCTTGAGCAAATAATTAAATGGTCATTAACAGAACAAAATGGTTATAAATATTTTATGATATCTTTACAATCGCAATTAATGATTTTAGATGAATATATATTAAAGCAAAAATTATTTCACGAACAATATTTTACAAGATTTAGTAAAGATAATATAAATAATATACCATTAAATGGTAATAGTAATTCAAATAACAATCATAATAAAATTAATCGAAAAAGTGAAGGACAACAAAAAATTGAAGAAGATCAAATAAAATTTTTAAATAATATTAGAACAAGATCAGCTTCAGAAAGTAATAAAAATCAAATTCAATCAATTAATTTAAATATTCAAGATAACCATAAAAAAACTGATTTATATCAAATTAATAATAATAATAATAATAATTTAACCGATGGTAACAATTCAATTATAAATAAAGCAAATAAATTAAGCAATAATTTAGGAAATAGAAAATACTCAAATAATATTATTAATAACGATAATAATATAATATTAAATAATGATTCAGATGAAATAAATAAAAATCATTGTCAGAATTTAGATTTACAACGATTACAACAAAACAATGTTACAGATAATATTAATAAAATAAATCATTATAATAATGTTACAATTAATAATGATAAAAATGATAATATTGATAATAGTAATGGAGAAATTTCAGAAAAATTTTGTATATTAATGTAAATTATAATTAATTTGGATCATAGTTAATTTATTATATTTTAATATTTTTTTTTTCTATTTATATTCTAGACTTAAAATGTATATTATATTGTATTGAATTTTTTTTTGAAAAAGAAATTATAAAAAAATTTATAATATTGTTATATTTAATCGTAAATGATAATTGATCAATTTATGCATTTTATTTTAAATATAATTTGAATATTGTTAGGAAAATTTCGATATATTATACATCTGATTAGATTAAAACTAGACAATTTTTTGTTTAAAAAAAAAAAAAAAGAACAAAAATGCCTGAAAGTCAGATTTTGAATTGGCCTAAATTTTTGATAAAATAAAACTTATATATGCATGGCATACGAAAAATAGCCAATAAAATTTAATTTTAATTACAATAAAAAAAAAACAAAAACGAAAAAGTGCCATGATGGCAACATCAATGTGTAAACTTAGTACAATTACAAAATTAATTACAAATAAGAAATTTTTTTAGTTTATGCACTATACAATTTCAAAAATACAAGGAATAATTAATAATACGTAATGAGGAATTTAATCTGAAAATAAATTTAAATCTTAAAATTACTAGGCTTTAGTGTTTTGAAAAAAATTAAAATAAGTAAAAAGAATTTTATTTTTTAAGTAAAATTTGTTACCGCAGAATTTTATATATTAATCTCTTATTTGTACTCTTATGGAAACAAATCGTTTTTTAGCATGAATAATATATATTATTTATTTTAGATGAAGTGAAAAATTAAATTAACAAAATTATTACTCAACCAGATTCTAAAGATTTACATTCATTCATATGGGATGCAAACATTCATTGCGAATGTGTACATCAATTTTTAACAAATATTTGTTTTGTGATAAAAATTTAACATTTTTGTTATTTTTATATTCGCAACATTCCAAAAGTTCTTGTGTCCTAATTTATTTATCTTGCAATAAATTTATTTGCAAAATTATAAAAAAAAATTTATATTTCAATAATTTGACTTTCAGCAAATTTATTAAAAATTTTTTTAAAAAATATGTTATTTACATTATTAATATGAAGCTAAAAATCTTTTTAACTTATTTTATAAATTACGTTATATTTTTCATACCTTAAAATAATCGAAAATAACACAAAGTTAATAAAATAAATGATATTAAAACAGAAATATACATATTTAAAAAAGAAATACTTTGTTTTATTTTTTTAGTTTTTTTATTTCTTGTTATTGTTTAATACATTATCTTAAATATATGAAAAAATTACGATTTAGAGTTGTTTTCAATGTTTTCACTTAACATAATTTGGATTTTTCTTTAAAATAACAAAACCTTCCATTATGGGTGTTAATGAAATATACTCTTCTGTTGCTAATTCAGCACGTTCACCCATCGCTAATAAAACTGGTGTTGTATGTGTTTGGAAACCGGTAATTGTTTTTGGTTTACCAGCTTGTCCAACAACATCCACAGCTTGACCAACACGAACTGGTACCTGTAACTGATTTAAGTGCTCATCAAAAGTAATTAACATTCTAGGTTGCATTGCAGGAACCAATGTATACAATAAATAATGTGATCTTCCAAGAATTACTAAAAATAAAAAAATGATTTTCATATATATATATGTATATACCGAAAAAATATTTGAATAAGTTAAAATTTACTATTTTTAACATCCAGAAAAGCAACAAGAGTCGCCATTAGGCCAGCTACAGCAACTGGATTCATTAATTGTCTGTCACTATGATACGGGCTTAAAGTTAATGTTCCTTTGCCTAAATGTGTTAAACCCTGAGCTATGCGTACCATAAATAAATTATTTGGGTCTTTAGCATGATATTGGGCAAGTTGACGTAGCATAGCTGCTAAACGTGCATTATTTGTACCTGCTCCAATTAAACCCATTGCAAATATAGCATTATGTGCAACTTCTACATCATTATCATGAGAAAATTTACTCAAAGTGTCCAAAATGTTTAATTTTGGATTTGAAACAGAAATTAACCCCAGAGCTAATGGTACAGACCTTCTAATACAGGGTTCACAATATCTTAAAAGATTCCCAAAGGATCTATAAGCCATATCAGCACCAATTTCTTCGCCCATTGCAATTAATGCAATTCCCAAGACGGCAATAGCTTGAGTAGCTGACAAATCTTTTTCTTTATCAGTCTTTTCTTTTTGTTGTGTAGTAGTACTGCTAGATGTGGCTGTCGTTGAAGCAGATGATGCTGAGCTTGTTGTTGATGTATTTGATTTAGATTGCTTTTCATCAGAACTATCGTTTGATGATGGTTCATAATGTTCAGAACATATATGCAATAAATGTTGAATTTTTAGTACATTACCAGTACCTGCGTAAGCGCACATTTCAACCATAGTGGTTGCATATGAGTTCCAAGGTTCTTCTAAAACTTCCAAAGTAACCATTACGGCGTCGGCAGCCTCTTGTCTGCCTAAATATAGTAATGCTAATCCCAAAATTAGAAATTTTGTATAAGTATCTTTTAACTCAGTTTCGCTACGACCCAAGAGAGTATGCAATAAAATTTCTGTTATTTCTGCATTACATGAGCCAACCGCAATTAAACCCAAAGATAGTGCAGCAATTCCCAATACTTCACTGTTTGGAGCATTTTTTTTCTCATTATTGAAAACCGGTTTTAAAGAATCGATTACAATTGATCGATTAGATCCAGCGTAGGCTATACCTAAACCTAATAACGCACCTATTCTCATTGATGTATTTTGATGAAGAATGTAGTCAGACAAAAGTGCGTGAGCTGGATCAACTTCATTTCTTATTCCACAATTTACGATACCACAAGCTAATAAGGCTCCAGATTTGATATGATCTTCAGTTGAATACAAATATTTATCGATTGATGTTAATCCACCATCAACATCCCACAATAAAATCAAACCAAGAGATGCTGTTGCACTCAACATACCATGTTCCTTATTTTTATACAACCACTTATTTCCATCTTCTGTAAGTAATTTGTCAACGCCAAATCCAGCATTTACAAATCCGTTAACAAAACTGGCAGCCAAATTTTGTCTTGCAGAATCAACTTGAGTTGAGGCGAATGGTGTTCGTGTGTTTTCCAAGTGGGATTTGTAAACGTCCTCTGGAGTCTTAGGTTCCATAATATCTAGTTCTCGAGCTAAATTCAAAAAATAGTTATTTAAGTGTGCATTGGACATAATTTCCATCAAGTCGTCATAATCTGTTGTAGATTCCTTCAATTCTAAACAAATTTGCTGCCGAGCCAACATAAAAGCCAATTGTTTTTGAATACCTGTATCTTTTACTTCAGTAAAAATTTCTTCAATTGTTTCTATTCTGTTTAGCATTAAAGCGAGACGCATTGCTTGCGTGTGCTTCTGAAATTTTCTTGATAATCTTAAAGCAACTTCAAGAATAGTTATATTTTCTGGTTCTGGAACATATGGAACACAACTTGTTAAATATAAACAAACACGAGGGTACGCACTTTCATCTACATGTTCTTCTAATAAATCTAAACGCTCAATTTCCATTAATAAGTCACATGCATCAGCCTCTGCATTGTGTTCCATATTATATGGAACGATCTGCTTAACTAAATTGATTAGACGTTCTTGAAAATTGTCAGAAGTTTCATGCCAGTTAACTGAAATTTCGCTAGATAAATGACGTACATATTCATGACCCCAATCTCCAATTTTTTGATCAGGATCACACAAAAATCTATATACTAAACATTCCTTTCCGGTTCCCATAGTCATAGCCAAAACAGAAATGATATCAGCACAAGTTTGTTTACAATCATCATTAGGCATTTTTTTATAAACCTCCTTCATAGTTTCATAATGCTGACGCATGAATTTAAGTGGTTTTGGTACTGCAGTCATAGATGTTGTAGATGCTCTAATCATGCTACGCATAGTTTCCAATGTAGGCATATACAACATTTCGTTATTTTCTTGAAGACGTTCTACGAGCATGTTAAGCTCATCTTGCAGCTGTTGATCTTCATCTGACATTTCTTGTTGCTCTTCTTTTTCACCAGCGGTCTTATTTTTCGCATCATCAGCTTGAGCTGGTTTTTTTGCTTCTTCATTTTTCGGTTTGGTTTTCTTTTCTACAGGCATTTTTGAATACTTTTTCTAAAAAGTAATATTTATTAACAAAGTAGAAATTATTTGTTTATCTAAAATTCACTTTACTTTATTTTTTAATTTATATTGCAATATAAAAAACAAAGAATTACTAAGCAATTAATTATTGAAGTCTGTTGTGTTTAAGGTTATATTATATTTTGACAGTCATCACTGTCGTTTCTTTTTCTTTGTACCAGTTTCGTTTTGTTTCAAATTGTAATCGCTTCACTAGCGGTCCCTGTCGTACAAATAAAGAAAATGAAAACGTAAGAAAATTTTTTACTGATTAAATTTTTAGATACAATGTGTAAGACAATGCTAATGTAATTAGAACGCAAATAAAGATTTTTTTTTCTATATTTATCTTCAAATTAAGTGTATAATAATTCCAATTGGATTCTTTGTTCTGGCGCATATTTGACATAAACTGGTTAACATCCACTATAACCGGTAAATTTAGAGTTTTTTCAAACAACATTTTTGATTTCGTTGTCAAAAATCATTAAATACTAATTAATAGATTATAAATATGAAATCGCTATAAACATCGAATTTTTTCCAAAATTTGTACCCGATATTCACGGATTTGCGATGTATCGATATATCTGAGCGGATAGTATGATATAAACAGAAGTTAACCGCCGTTTAAGCTAAGAAACCATTTATGTACGTAAGTTATAAACAAATTTTTGATTTTTAAACTCTATTTCAAGGAATCAGACTTTCATTAAAATTTGGAAAAACAAGGAAAAAGTTTTCATAAACAATATTTTGACATAAAAAGAAAAAATTTTATTGAAAGAAAATATCAGATATGTATAAACATTAGAAATCTTACTTTTATCAACCATAAAAATTGGTGTTGTGGATGAAATTATGGAAGATTGCAGCTATACTTTTGTATAAGTTACATACATAAATCCTTGCATTATGTTGAAATTCAATTCAGAATTTAAGTATTTATTATGAAATCAAGCATATAGGATTTCCTGACTTAAAATTTGCTAATTTGATGGCAAGAACTCTGGAATGAAATCTGCAGTTGTGTCAGAAGCGTGGAAGTTTTACAATTTTTTACAAGAAGAATACCATGGTGATTATAATGAAAATTTGGAAAAATGCTCGGGGTTTTAATTTCAGGCAAACACTGCTAAAAATGAAATTAAACATTACAATATACAAGTCAATTGTATCTACACATTGTAAGCTTGTGTAATCTGGAGTGGCTACATATAGATGCCTACCTACATAAGTATGTAATCTATTAATTGAAAATTTTAAAAAATTCGTTACTATGCATTTGGTTTTCATTCAAGTTACATTATCGGTATTGTAATCATTTATAATTTACATTACAATTCTTCATCAACAGTATATAGTTTGATGAGCATTTAGTCAATATAATTATATAAATAAGTATAGTCATAAAATATAATAATATAAATAAGTATTTTAATATACTTGTGCAGGATCATTCACTAGGTATTCCATTATCTATTATTTACTTTGTGCATGTACATACATTATGTATAGGTCAACAAATCATTTAAAATTTGATTGTATTTGGGCATGAAATATATCTAGTTATTAATGATTATTTCTATTTATTTCATACATTGGGTCATATGATGTAGGTTGCGAAATTTTCAAGAAAAAAAATTTCTTTTTCCAATAATTATTTAATACTTTTACAATATAACATCTTCACAATTAATTATATATGTATGTATTCGGGGGCGTTCATTATCATAGGTACTTAACCAAAAATGTTATTTAATATTAAATGTAATTTATTTGCTTTTCTTTCATATAACAATTTTGTATTAGTTAACAATGCAATTTCTTCTTATTTTTCTTAATAGGAAATCATATTTAAAATTTCATTTTTAAATTTCACACTTTGACGAGATAATAGAAAAATTTCATTCAAATACCTACTTTAATATAATTGTAAAATAGCCTAATAATATTTCGAAATTTCTTGTAAAAATTTTAAAAAAGAAAAATGATTTTAATGATGAATTTATTTTAAAACTTATTAGTTTAAATTTCATCCCATTATTAATGAGAAGGGAATTAAAAAAATAGAAAAAGTTAAATAGAGTTGTGATTCTGATTTAGCGTAGGGTAAAATTATGGTGTATTTAATTTTGTAATTTTTTGTTTTTCGAAAATATAATTAAGACTTATTTAAAATTAATTGAAAATTATAATTAATGATGTTAAAGGTATGGTTTTTAAAACAATTTTCTATAAGTATAGTATAAATTGCGTGTTTTATTAGTATTAAGAAATAATTTTTGAACTATAATTAATATAACATTTTAGCATTGCAGGTATCAGTGGTTGAAGAAGTTTTAATATGCCAGGAAATTTAAAATTAAAATTTTGAACCAAATTTAATCTGCAATATGAAGTATTGCAGTTAAATATTTTATCATTTATAAATATAACAAAAATGTTTTGTGATGCAACAAAACTGTTTTAGTAATTGGAAATTTACAAACCATAAATTAATGAAATTTATATTTTATTTGAAATTGTAAATTAATTTTTCAAGAAAATTTCATACTAATGTTAATGGAAGTTAATGACATATTTAACGTGATTCAATATTTTCTGGGTTGCTCAATTTTAATTTTATTGGCTTTCTTCTTGGATTGTATTTCTTTAAAATTTTGCATTTTTATCATTTAAGATTGTTGTGAACTGTTTCAAATATAATGAAGAATTTAATGTTCTTTTCAACTATATATAAATACTCTTCTATTATTACATTTATATTGTTTAAAAAAAAAAGAAAATTATTTAAAAAATTTGTAAAAAGTCCCCGAGATTATTGAGTTATTTTGGTAAATTTTTATTTTTTTTTTTAAATTTAAATTTAATAATTTTTTTTTGTCTTTAATAAATGAAGGTTATTAAAAAATGGTAGTATGATATACTAATTATTATTATTATTCATTATTATATTATTGATCTTCTATATTATTTTACTGTTTAAAAATTGAAAGGCCTCATCTATTTCCTGTTTTATTACAATTCTTTATATTATTATTTTATTAAAAGCTTCTTTATTTTAAGATACCTACAAAGGTATTATATGATATATAAAAAATCAATAGGCATTTTTTTTTTAAATAATTGGTATTTTTACTGTAATAATGAAAATTCAATTTTATAAATATGCTTGTAAGATTTTATGGGTTAAGTTCTTTGTTTTAATTTAAAAATAATTGTTAAGCTGTATATACAGGTGTTGAATGTACCTATACGTTTTTATAATAATTTATAATGTTGGATATTGGACAATTACATATAATTTTTTTATTTTAAATAAAAATTTAATAAAAAAAATTAATAATTTCCTCTAATTTGTGTTAGCGAGATGTGATTAAAAAAAATTAAGTCGCATCATTTCATTATTTTTATCCAATATATTCCAATATTACAATACATTTTATATACCAATAACATATTATATGAGCTTTATAGACAGACAGCTCTTTTTTGATGTAAGATTGAATGTTTAAGTTGTTATTATTACTTTAGTATAAAACAATTATGTTTATAATATGAATGTATGTATGTATGAATTAAAAAATTTAGGCAGGTTAAAAATAATAACTGATATATGCTTCAATAATATAATAGTAAAAAAAAAATAAGTAGAAAAAATAAGTAGAAGTCAAACGACAATAAAAATTAAACATGTCTGAAGGACAAATAATCACAATAACAATATAAAAATTTACCATACTTACATTCTTTATTAATTTTATTGATTCATCATAAGATATAAGCTAATTTATTACTAATTTTTTTCATTTTATGTTATATGGATTTTTTTGATTTGCCAGATAAATGTTTAACGGTAAAATAATAGTTACGTTAGTATAGAAAAAAAAATCGCTGTATTTTATATACTTATAGGGTGTTTGTGATTCTTATAGAATGTGTGATGACAAGGGTAAAATATTTGTATTGTAAAATTGATTAAACGATAAGCGATGAGTGATCAATGGAGATTGGATTATTTCTGTATTTTTTAATTCAAATATTTTTAAATATTTTTAATATATTGGGAAATTAGTTTTACAATTTGATGAATGAGAAAATAAAATTATTAAACTTATGATTTTTTACACACTTTTTAGGAATATATTTTGTAAAATTTTCAATATTAAGAGTAAGGGGAAAAGGAAGGAAAAAAAATTTCCTATCAAATCGTTTTTAGTTGTGATTTCATTTAAACAAATTATAAATATGGTATTATTGTTTTTATATACACATACCGAAAAAACTCTAACCGGAAATGTTTGTTCTGAATGAAATTTTATTTTTTAAAAATATGGAAAGTGTGATTCTTTGAAGGGATATCCAACTGAATTAATCAGAGACTCGGGCTCACTTCAATTAATTTGTAAAACTATGTATACATAGAAATAAATTATAAATAAATAAAGTTTTACAAAAATTGTACTTGGTTAAGCCTGTGCACCCTGTATTCTTCTAAAATTATGCCTAAAGCAAAAATATAATTTGTGTATATTTATATATATGCGTATAAATATTGTTTTTTAACTGTTTTTAAAGACAAAATATATTTTTTTAGTATAAGCAAATGAACATCATTCTTCTATTATATTTTTTATTTTTTATCATTTGTATTTTATGTACGGGTATATAATTTTATAAATAAATATAAAAAACTGTTTCAATATAAATTTAAGATTGATAGATATATTAATTAAAAATAATTATAATAATTAATTTCAATTTTAGAATAAATAGACTTTTGAATATTGAATATAGTTTAAAAAATTTATTATTAATAAAAGATGTTATCAATCAAAATTAGTTTATTTCCTAGTATAACATCATATTTTAAGTATGATTTCATGTGTGTGCATATTTTATGAATCAAAATAACAAATTTGTTTACCCGGTATTTAAAATAATTATTTATTATTTATAAAAAATTATTGTAATTTATTGTTATTTTGAATAATTTTTAATTTCTGAATAATTTTTATATGGGCTAGATAATAAACAATACATTTAAATTCTGATGTCACCACAAGTAGTATTAGCATGTGCATATCATACTGTTATTTACTGAAATCAATTATTAGAATATACATAATTATT